CCTATAGTGTGATGAGTCGTTTTGATTTACTTAAGTGCCAGTAACTAAGACTTCTTTCTTTAGAAACGAAGAGAATTTGAAAAGAAAGAAAGAAGTCTTAGTTACTGGCACTTAAGTAAATCAAAACTAATTCATCAAAAGAATGGAATTTCAACACTCCATTCTTGTCGGCCGCCTGGAGGCAGTTACCATAACACGCGCGTGCCGCTGCCTAGACTATAAGAGTCACGAAAAGGACAAACGTTTTGGTACGCTAGTGGGCGTGGTAAAGGTTTTTATACATTGAGGGGGTGAGGGTGAGGGTAATGAAACAAAATATTTACCTTTAAGTGGAGTGTTGAAATTTCATTCTTTTGATGAATTAGTATCTTTTTATTTGACATTTTTTTTTCACAAGAACCATTGAACCCTTTAATTTTTTTCCGTGACAATGATAGTTCATCTGATAAAAGTGAAAAGTGTCTGTCGGCAAATTCAGTTCAAAAGTGCTAGCAGCATTCAAACAAAGAAAAGTTGTTGTGTTTTTATGGGCAGAAAAAATACTACCAACAAAATCGGTTTTTTGGAAAACATTTAACGGTTTTCTTTAAAAATAATTCTGAAACACAATTGCTCATCAGAAACAAGGTTTTAATTGCATACTTTTGGACAGATCTAGTGGAATTAAGTGACAAAAATACTGGGTCAGAGGTATTGTCAAGGCAAAACTTTGAAGCCGTTCTACTTCTCGGTATCGGTCTTTTCCTGTTAAAAGGTACACATTTACCTGCATTCTTAATGACGCATATATCTAGTAATATATACTAATACCACCACATTCTAACTCATGGGGTGAATTGCGGGTGTTATGGTAACTGCCTCCAGGTGGTCGACAAGAATGGAGTGTTGAAATTCCATTCTTTTGATGAATTAGTTTTGATTTACTTAAGCGCCAGTAACTAAGACTTCTTTCTTTCTTTTCAAATTCTCTTCGTTTCTAAAGAAAGAAGTCTTAGTTACTGGCACTTAAGTAAATCAAAACGACTCATCACACTATAGGTTTCTCCTCTATCATGCACTACCTCTTTCCTCTCCTTCTCATCCCAACAACCTTCCTCCTCTTCACTCCCACCTTCAGCGTTCTATGCACACGATGCGATGAAAGGGTTATGGTTGATACCTATGATCCGATCAATGCTCCTTCCTTTGCCCAACATAGAAACAAATGTAATCAAACAGAAGCACTCCTATGTTACGGCAGAATGTCTGTTCACTATGGATCAGTCTACGTCGAATTGAACCCTCAAACCAAGTTAACAACCGGTAATAATCTAATCTTGTTAGCTTGGCAATGAGACTTTTCAATTGAATCTAATATATTCTATCTATCTGTTTATCAACACAACTATTTCCATTGTCAGTTATGTATAATAAAACTCTTCTCGTAATCAGTTAGAGAAATGTAATATAAAAGTATTATTATGAGTTTTATTGAAATTAGAAGATAGATCACACTTAAAAAATAAGCTGGATTATATTGTTAGATGCAGGTTAAATATAATAATATGGATTAAAGAGTCAATCACTTTGCTTAACCATCACGCTTATTCGATATTGCAACAACAAGTGTTCCTTTGCCACATTTGACTTTAACTTTATAGTCATTATTCATATCTTGTTCTTTCGACTCTTCTTCGTCGGCCATTGCTTCCCATTGGTTAATGCGCATAGCAAATTGATCTTTTCCATCTTGTTCAATTGTCATTGTTGACATAGCACTTGAGCTTTTGGCATTTATTTCTTGACGTCCTGCCTTTACTGTACGAGGTGCAATTACTGCGTCGTTGAACATTTTGTCTGGTCGTGACTCACCGTCCCAATCATGATTGTCCACTTCGGATACTTTAATTTTGATTTCTCCATTTGTATCGATTGTATTGATTTTTTTCCGTGGACTGATAGCCCGAGATGTCCTCTTGAACGCGGAGTCAGACGACACCTTGATCTTCCGCGGCTTGGGCGTTGTATCGGATTTTCTTCGAGTCCGAGGACTGGCACCTGGTGATCAGTCATTCGGCTTATCAAAAGGTGATCTTTTATTCTGAGAAAATACGGTGAGTAAAAAAAGATTTCGAAATAAAAAAGAATTTTGTGATGAAGTTTTCATCGCGTGTTGAGTTGAGAAATATACGCGGTAAGAAGTCAGAATAGTCAGGAAAAATAATACAAAGGTTCAACAATTTCAGAAAAAAGTAAAATATGTGATAACCAAGAATTGGCACGATCTAGAGATATGCAGAAATGAAATTGCTGTGTGATCATTCTGAGCTTAACTTCTTAATGTGAAATAGTTCACCTTGATTACATCACGTTCCTGAAGAGAAAACTGGGTAAAACATGCTGAAATCGGTGTATCAAACGAAGATCTTCAGAGAGAGCTTTCTTCAACCGAAAAGTCGTGTTTATTAGTGTTTTGGATTCGAGAAATTACTAGATTTCTTTAGCTATCCGACATAATTTGTTGTGTTTCTTGAACTCAAGATCTCGACCATTCAACAAAGTTTTTTTTATCAGGCATATCATGACTAAATATAGCCAGATTGATTAAGAAGGAAGTTCATATCATGACTAAATATAGCCAGATTGATTAAGAAGGAAGTTTAAGCATAAACTTTGACAATTCACAATGAGATATACTTAGGTCAGTCCAAAAGTAGTTGCATAGGTATATCAATTCCTTATAGAAAGCTATGTGAAACATTCTTTCTATACAGTCTGATAGAGAAAAGAAAGCTCTATTTTTCTATGCTATTTGATCATACTTCAACTAATGGCATAATAATAAAATTTCAATAAGATATGTTTTGTTCGCAAGTGTGCCAGTTGTATTAATACTCATTTTAAAAAAATATGAGTGAGTATTTTTTGAATAACTTTTGATAGAAACAAGATAGAGAACTGCAGTTTTCACCGTTGGAAAGAGGAGATGAAGACGCATCAAACTGTATATTCCAGAACTTCTTGATCTGTTTTTTGTAAGGTTTTCAACTGATTTTTTTAAGAGCAAATCTGTCTGATAAGTTGTTTACAGTGAATTTTCAATGATCAAGTATAAATTCAAACCACTAACAATGGCGGTGTTTGTATTGATCATTAGCTGTCTTAATCATGTTTCGGCCAAATTATCAATCTCATCACCAAACCAACACATATAAAATATTACGGGCCCTTAGCGAACCTTGACCGAGATATCGGATTTTTCAGTGAATTTTCTCTACAGGACCCACTTTCTCAGCAAAATCATATTTTCGAATTTCGATCTGAAACTTTGTACAAATGAAGGTCTCAATGGAGCTAGGTTACAGAAAAAATTTCAACATTTTTGGACAATCTTTCTTCGAGATATGAATCTCTCAAAATATACAAATTCTATAGAAAACCGCCAAT